GGTAATGGAAGAAATTCCTTCTTCTTTGACAGATTTTTTTAAACCACTCTTAGCCAGAGATTAATGATTTGTATCTATTATCACTTTTGCTTTTTGTTTTATTTTAAAACATTTTCATAAACTGATTGCTATGTGCCAGAATACGGGCTAGGTGACTTTTATGTTTTCTCATGTCTTATTCACTCTCCCAGGAAAGTTAGTAGAGAGAGAACAAAGGATCATCATATTCAGGGAAGCTGTTTGTGTGCAGATGCTTTTCAGGTGAAGGCAGCTGCCTAGAGCTGCTTGTCCTATGTAACTGTGAAGCATACATAGCCCCTTTTACATTAGTTGCTAACTGTTGCTGAAATGATGCTTGCTTCTTTCCTAGCCAAATCATTATTGGGTTTACATAGAAATGGTTACTTGGTGAATTACTATATCCTTATTAGTATACCTCATTGTCTTGCTAGTATACTCTGAACAAAGTAATAAGTTTTCATTTTCACTATGTTCTGAGCACTCTACTTAGTATGGAATAGTCATAACAATTAAGAGATAGGCCTTTGCCTTTGCCCTTATGAAACTTATAATACAGGGTGTGGCAAAAATGGGTTTACAGTTATGAATAAACAGAGTTTATTCTTATATTATTATTATTATGTATTAATTACTAGAGGCCTGTGCACAAAATTCATGCATGGGGAGGGGGCTGTCCCTCAGCCCAGCCTGTACCCTCTTGCAATCTGGGGCCCCTCAGGGGATGTCTGACTGCCAGTATAGGAATTCTTGCTAGATTTGGACTAAACCAGCAGTTAGAGATCCCTCTCGCAATCTGGGACCACTGGCTCCTAACCATTTGCTTGCCTGCCTGCCTGATCACCCCTAACTGCCTCTGCTTCGGCCCCCTGTCCACTGCTTCATCTGAAAGAACGTCCGGAAGATCATTCAGCTGTTATTAGCAATATGATGTTATTATTATAGATTGTATTAGTTTCCACATGAACAACTGCAAACCTACTTTTGCCCCACCCTGTATTAAAGTGATGAAATTTGCATGGAAAAAATATTTGAAGAGGATTATAAATACCATCTTGCATGCTATAAATATGAATGCTTTTGAGTTCCAAAAAGAAACAAAACATATTTATGGGCCATAAAGAAAGTATTCAGTTAAGATGTGAAAGTTTAAGCCTGGAAGGAAATTTTAAAAATGGATTGGTAAATGGTAGAAAGGAGTTTACTGAGGAGAAGAAAGAATAAGACCAGAATAAGACATGGTTGTGGGAAATCAGATTTGCAAGACAGGGTACTGAGAGCAGAAGGAGTTAAGAAGAGGAAGATTTGATTCTATTATTCTGCAAGTTGTCCCCACTACCTGCCCTTAAAATTATAGCATTGTCCTTGGGCTGGTAGCATAACTTGTATTAAAATGTTTATTAAATGTTCACAAGAACCAAACCATGCATCCTATATACTTGCAACTTTTACTCAAATATAAAACCAAAACATATTTACAAATAAAAGGTAAGCAAATCTATACATCATTTAAATGTGTAAATTGGATGATTTTTTCCCACTGAAATGAAGTATCTCTGTGGAAGTAATATGGGACACAGACTACCACATATGTATGTGAATATATAAAACATCTGCCTATAGCACTGTGTGCCATGTGATGACTCAATCCCCTTAACACTTTATTCAAGTGACTTCAAAACTTTTTATGTGCATTACTACATAAGGATGCTGTTTGGTTTTCATTTGGCTGGAACGTATCATTAACATATTAAATCCATCTTTGTCCTCCGTAGCAGCTGGAAACTATCAGAGCTTTGAAAATGGATCAGATCTATGATAAACACAAATACTAACAATGGGGATCTTCCATATGATCCCAAATATAGTTCCTTTAAATTTTATATTGACTCATCTAAGAAATCCTTATAGAAAAGTCATTGACCACAGAAATGCAACTATTCCACCAAATCCAGTCTGAGAAGCTCTACTTTCAGCTGTTGGGGATATAGATTTAGAAAGGCAGGATCTGGTTAACTGGACAATTGTCACCTGCGCAGGCAAGCAATAGAGTCTGAATAACTACCCATTCAGGAGCGTGACAGAGGATGTGCACTTGGGAGAAGAGTAAAATAACACATATTTGTTGAAATAAAGTGTACAGCTACCAATAAGAAGAAAATTAATGCAAGGGCTTTTTATATTTGCAAATAACAATGCTCATTTAGGTATATAAAAGTTCACAAGTGAAATGATAATAAGGAAATGAGGTATTTTTAAAATATATTTTATTGATTTTTTACAGAGAGGAAGAGAGAGGGATAGAGAGTTAGAAACATCAATGAGAGAGAATCATTGATCAGCCGCCTCTTGCACACCCCCTACTGGGGATGTGCCCACAACCAAGGTACATGCTCTTGACCAGAATTGAACCCAGGACCTTTCAGTCCGCAGACCGACGCTCTATCCACTGAGCCAAACCGGTTTTGGCAAAATGAGAGCATTTTTATATGGGTGTGAGGGAGGCCTGTTTGAAGAGATAGCATTTAGTCAGCCTTTCTTAATGAGAAGGAATCAGGCCAGGCATTGGGAAGTTTCTTTAGACAGAGACAAGAGTATAAATTCTGAAACAGAATCCAGCTGGGCATGAAAGCAAGAACAGAAAAAAGGAAGATTTGGGGAGAATCTGCATGAGACAAGGTCAAAGAACAGATCGTAAAGTATGAGCCTAGTAATGAAGCAAAAATAATGAAATGGAATGGATGTTTCTGATGCTCATCAATGAAGATAGGTTGATGGGGATTTGAGATGTTTTGGACATGGAGATAATAATGAGAGAGAAGTATATAGGGTGTCCCAAAAAATGTACACAGGCACTGTGAATCATTATAAACACAGTGTTTATTAAAATGCATTTCATTTTCAAAATTGAGGTATCAGCTATTAAAGTATGTATACATTTTGGGGAACACCCTGTATATGATAAACACTTTCAGAGAGAGTGACTAGAAGAATGATGATGTAATGATGATATAATTGTCAGAAATAAGGAAATAAGTAATTGGGGGGAGTCTAAGTGAAAAGACGCTGAATTGTACATAATGAAGGATCAGAAAAGTTTTGGTTAGTGTTTTGTAATTTAAAGGGAACAAAAACAATGGGTTATCTATTGGCAAGTTGTTCCATCTTAGAGAAGCTGATTGAAATAAGGAAATAGAAGAGTTATCAAATGGATACAAATAAAACATGAGATCAGAGAAGGACAGAGGATTGTGCCTTAGAGGAAATGAGAGATCTATAGAAGATTCCAAGAAAGGACCCAGGACAGTATAATGGTTTGTACTACACAAGCACACACACACACACACACACACACACACACACACACACACACACACACACGACAGTTAAGTAGGCCAGTCCATTTATGTCAAATGCTGCCACAAGCTTAAAAACAATGGATGTTGTCCTTCAGAGTCTGTATCATGAGAGGCATGATGTGGTCATAGGCAGGTGCAATACATGGAGAAAGCTAGTGGTGAAGGGGAAATTGGCAAAAGGCCCAGTTAAAATAAGCAGGGTAGCACAGAGTCCTTTAAGAGTTATTGGTTGTGACAGGTTGCTGAGGCTAGATTCTCAGTAAAACCTATTTTTTAGGTTTTATCATTCCCATGGAGTGAAGATGGCTTTGGTTTGAGGGCTCTTCAATGGAGAACTTCTTGAGTTAATGACTGTAGCATTTTGTCTGCCAGGGCCTGGTTCTTCCAAGTCAAGGGAAGCAACTATGAAAGACATATGGAGCTCCTTTTGTCATCCAACTATGTCCCTCTGAAGCTTCTGAGTGATTAATTTACCTTACATAGCTGACAAAATGCCTCGGGGAGCCTTGTAATGTATCATTAACATTCCTATTTGAGGTACAAACTCTCACTATAACACTAAGGCCATTTTGCCACCAATTATATAAATGACCACACATGAGTAATCATATATGATGAGTCAGTCACATTGCAACTTTGGACATGGCCAAACTGACCAAGGTCTGGGAGAGCTTAGCCTGGTGGGCCATGGCAGGACCTACCTCTGGCTCAAAAACATGCTTGTTGGAATGGCCTTGACTGCCAACATGGTGTGGTTGTGTCTGCCATGCCCTATTGTATTGGCAAAGTTGAATACTGCTTTTGTTTTGTATTGTCAAAGGGGAAGTCAGAGAGTACAGTGTAAATCACTTTTATATCAGCATCATATGATCCTAGGCCATATGAAAACATATAACAGTTCGTTTTGTAGCTCAAGGAAAGGTAGAGGTGAGTAATTAAGAGATAGATTTTTTTTTTTAAGGGGAGAGGGTCAAGGTAGTCCAGCTCTCTCTAAATAGAAATTCTGTAAAAACATTGGTCACTGTTATATGAAACATGTAAGAACCCCTGAACTAATAATTTGAGAAATGGAATTTGTTCTTTCCATCAAAAAATAAGTTAAACAAATTTTACAAATTGTCATTTCACTTTAACTTTGAGTGCTACTTAGAACTGAATATTTTTTCTAATAATTGAAAGCTCTCTCACTTTACTCTTAAAAATATTGATGGCTCTGGTCAGTGTAGCTGAGTTGGTTGAGCATCATCCCATGCTCAAGAGGTTGCTGGTTGGATTCCCAGTCAAGACACATGCCTCAGCTATTGGGATGTGCAGGAGACAGCCGATCAATGGTTCTCTCTCATCCATGTTTCTCTCTCTCTTTCTCTCCCTTTCTCACTTTCTCTAAAATTGATAAAAACATATTTAAAATATGTGGATGTAAAATTACCTTAAAGTCATGAAGTGACCTCAAATATAATTTAGTTCTGAGAGAGAGCTGACTTATTTACTTAGGCCCCCTCCTCTCTCTCATACATATGACCTTTATTCCATCATGTAATAATGAAAATGAACAAAATAAAGATACAGTATAGGTTGGTATAACATTCTTCTGGATGTCATTCCTTTTTTTTGTTATTGCAGGTGAAGACTGATGATAGAGTGGTTAAGATGGACCTTGGTTTACTCTTCCTAAGGGTACGCAGAATGGATGCTGGTACATATTTTTGCCAGACAGTAGAGCATGGTTTTGTCCATACTGTCCGTAAAATCACCCTGGAGGTAGTAGAAGAGGAGCGAGTGGAGGAAATGTTTAACAAAGACTACGAAGAGGACAGGCCTCACAAGATGCCTTGTCCCGCTCACAGTAGTATCCCGCACGGAGGAAAGCCATGGTATAAGGAATTCTTGCAGCTGATTGGCTATAGCAACTTCCAGAGAGTGGAAGAATATTGTGAAAAGGTATGGTGCACAGACAAGAAGAGGAAAAAGCATAAAATGTCACCTTCCAAGTGGAAGTATGCCAACCCACAGGAAAAGAAGCTCCGTCCCAAAGCAAAGCACTATCGCCTGCCCAGGCACACGCTGGACTCCCGATGAGGTGAAACAATCCACTGGATTCTGAGGAATTTATATTTGAAACCTAAAAGCAAAAGAAAGAAAAAAAAAAGATTGAGAAATCATCCAACTTATTTGCATTACTTTAAAAAGATATTTCTGTAATACAGAAATGACTTAGAGGTGTTATGATAAATTATTCTACATACTCATTTGACTGGTTAAACATCATATAAGTTAACTAATTTTTTTAAATAAGTGTATGTTTCAATGGTTTCACATTATATTTATCAAAAAGTGGACGATAGTTGTAGTTTTGAGTACTTGACTGCTTTTCCAAGGCAATTATTACTTGCAATTATTACTTTACTCTTGCTAGACGTAAGATAATGAGGATATTGATGATAATTTTCAGATTTAAATAACCATGGGAAAATAAAAAGAAATGTTTCAATCTTTCTGAATTTTGCCTTTCCTCCACACATAGTATCAGGTACTTTAATATTTCCATGTGAACTGTCTGTACTTTTTTTTTTTTAAATGATTGTATTACTGTTGTCAAAGCCATGAGTTTGATGAAGCAGGTGTGTTGTAATTATTGTAAACCATGAAAGAAAAATGGTGGTCCCCTTGACAATTGTACCCTTCACAAAACATTTGTTGAACCATGGAGTGAAGAGAAGAATGAAGTGAAGGTAACTTCTCAGAAAGATCTCAAAGGATTTCAAAACAGATGGATTACAGTTAGAACTCTAATTGAAAAATTTTGCTGCCCTCTTCTGGTAGAAAACTATATTCCTCTACAATTTGTCTAGTAAAGATTTGAAAGCAGTTCCTAGGTAGTATTATATCTAACCCATTTTCAGAAAATAGCTAACTGAAGTAACAATGTGCTAATGCTTATGTCATGCTTTAAGATGTTAATAACTTATTACCTCACAAGCCAAAAATGATATTATAGCACTGAAGCTCTATAAAAACTTAAATTTTATAAGTTTTCTGAAATATAAAATATATTCCAAAAACATAATCTTTCTTTCTAAAAAAATAAAATAAAAATTAAAGCATTTTGCTCTGAGATGTCAAATTTTCCTCTATTTTATATTAACAAATGGAAAATTATTTCATGAGTTCACCTAACACCCAAGATGTTCAGAGCACTTTTACTTTTCTAAATAGTATCAGGAGAGATTTTATTTTTGAAAATGTTTATTTCCTGAAGTTTTTTTCTTCTATCTTATTTAGCAATTATCTTTCTAAAATATAATTTTTAAGAATTTTCATTTAAATAAGAATTAAAAGCAAGTGGATGACATATAAAAACAATTATGAATATTTAAAGGTTAATTTTGAATATTTTACTTTTCAAAATTAGCTTAGAGGATATATAAATAAGAAAGTCCAAGTATTGATAATTTGTAATGTCTTTCCATTTTATTCTAAAATTACCAAATACATAAATGTTTCAAGAAAGTTTAAAGAGTTCATTCAGCCGAAACCAGTTTGGCCCAGTGGATAGAGCATCAGCCTGCGGACTGAAGGGTCCTGGGTTCGATTCTATTATAGTAAGGGCTTATAGCCTGGTTGCGGACACATCCCCAGTAGGGGGTGTGCAAGAGGCAGCTGATCGATATTTCTAACTCTCTACCCCTCTCTCTTCCTCTCTGTAAAAAATCAATAAAATATATATTTTTAAAAATTCATTTAGTAAGCTGCCCAGCTACAAAAGGTCTAAAAATACAAATATATTGAAAATAAACATTCTCTGAAAAACTCAGTTGCTATGTACATAAGAATCCACTAGAGGTCACTGCTGCCCATCAATACTAACTGGAAACAGAACATACTGAAAGTTACATAAAAAAAGATGTATTCTGTAAAGCTGCCAGATGTAGAAAAATGGAACCATAACCACAAATTACAAGACCCTTAGTAAAGGTTATGTTCAGAACACTCAAAGTGAACAGATAAGTTAATAAACACAATTTATTAAGAACATTCTTCCATTTAACACAAGAGAAGGGAAAGCAGTATTTGTTCTCCTGTATTTGAAATTTAAGAAAAAAATATGGCAGAAAAGGCATAAGTAATTATCATTTTCATCTCAACACATACAACCAGTTAATAATAATGAGAATGATAATATCACTTATGAATTAAAATATTTGACAACTAGAGAACTAAAACTGAGGAAAATAATTTTTCTATGACACATCTTAAGAATTGAATGGACCTACATGCTTTTAAACTAGAACTATTAACCAGAAACATATATATTTTGTGTAAAATGCTAAACTTGATTCTCGAAAAATAAATACAAGCCAAATAAGCTTTGGAAGGCTCAAATACACAATTCAGTGAGGGCACTAAATTCCATATATATGTATATACGTGTGCTTTTTGTTTCAATTTTCTCTCTGCACCCCCCCCCACACACACACACACTTCCATTTCCCCCCCCCCCACACACACACACACACATCATGGCATACTTTATGAAAAATGCATTGCCCTCTCAAAGGACAAGCCAACCATGTATGTTGCTCTGCCCTGGAGAATTTGAAATGCACCACAAAAACACATACCAGGTCTTTTGTTGTTGTTTTTTTTTTCTGGGATTCAAATTCAAATTCAGAATCTTGTTTCAGAAATGTCCAGGTTTGGAAAATCACAAGTGAATTTTAGAAAAATAGAACCATAACCACAGATTACAAGACCCTTAGCAAAGGTTGTGTCCAAACACTCTTTCTTGAACTTGGGAAAGGCATGCCTCACCACCTGGAAGGATTCAGACTTTGCGCCAACCCCACCACAGTTTTCTCCAGACATAAACTCAGAGAGGAGGAAGACTTCCTCTGGGAAAGCACAGCTGGAAAAGAATCATAACCACCGACCCTCGTTTTTAAAGGGGGCACCTCCATGCAGGGGCTGTCTGTACTTCTTCAGACCTACTCTATGTCATTCTCAGTTGAGAGGGTACCTGTGGATGGATGAGTCTTAATATCACAGTGAACACCTACATCACCCATTGAGCTACAGATGCAGGTTTGTTAGCCAGGAGGATTTCAACTGGAAGGTATTTTACCTCAGGATTTGCCACGCCTCTTCCGTGCCTACCATTGTTAGATTGCTAATTTTTCTTTTGTGTTTATTACTATTTCAGCACAAGGCTATCAACTTGGTGAAACAGGGATTAAAAACAGAAATAGACACTAAGGAGGGCTCTGGAAAAAAAGAGAACAGAAAGACTTTGCCTATTTTGTAAGTGACAATTCCATATATGTTGGAGAGTTTTTTCTTCCCCACACTAGTTAAGTACTTATGGTGTTTTTATTGTACTTAATGTTTGCTATAGGGTGTAGGGTTTTGTAAATCTCCATAGTGATTAGGAACGTTTGTAAATTTGTACAATACAACAAATCGTTTTGAGTGTTGGTGTTTCGCATGAAACAGATAGAGCAGCCATTGTCCTTAAAAATGAGTTGTGTTTAGCCTGATAAAGAAAATGACTTGGCATTGGGTAGGTATCTGAGGTCACGAGGAAGGGCTGCAGCGATGATGCAGTGGGAAGTGAGATGATTTTTCAAAACCATTGCTCATTTTTAAGGACAGCACTGTTGCATCTAAATCAGATATAAATACTCTATTTCCACGAACACTCTTTTGAATGTAGTGTGTTATTTAAGCTGGCATGTTTATTTTATTTTTTCTGGGAAGATAGCATTATATTTTGGCTCTCATTGTAAACCGAATATATTCTGTTTGTCTAAATGGCTTAGTTATAAGCTAGAGTACTATATCGGCATATTCTTGTCTGTATGGCTTCCTTTTATGTGCTTGCCTGAGTCCATTAACAGCATGTGCCACATTATTTCTTTTCACTGATTATAAGCCAAGAGACTAATCATCTGGTGGCAAATGCTGCGAAGACCATTGACTATCACACGGATTTGCCACTGTGCACTGCATAACTCATCTGTACCGTTATGTACAATGTCCATTTAGTTTAACGTAGATGATAAATAAATATTTGCTAAATCCTTACCTGCTTTTTGGGGAGTGGTTTTTTTTATTATTGTTGTTTTTTTAAGTTTTTGCCAGTTGAATTCAAGTTTCACAACATGCCAAGCCTAAATGTAACCACACAATGCTAGAGCAGCACCAGGAAACAATTTCATTCTCTTTCCTTGGAAATACCCAACTCAACTTTCTTAAGGACGAGCAAGGCCAATCATCTCATACCTTGCAGCAGTTGGGTTTATGTGTAGGCATCCATCCTGTTCCTAGGACCAGCAGCCAGAAATTCCTTTCTACACTGCATTCTCCAGAAAGAAAGAGTGAAAATGAAACCTTTTTGAATGGTACCCAGCTGGTTGTCTACGAGTTTGGCAAACCTCAACTTCTTCCTCAAAGGTAGCTTAATTGCTGTTTTCTCTGCTGTTTTTATAAGACCTTGGAGAGATCACATGAGTGAGATTCAATGTTAAATGGTTCTCACTTTGGGGAGTTCTGTCTTTTTTTTTTTTAATATATATATTTTATTGATTTTTTACAGAGAGGAAGGGAGAGGGACAGAGAGTTAGAAACATCGATGAGAGAGAATCATCGATCAGCTGCCTCTTGCACACCCCCTATTGGGGATGTGCCCGCAACCAAGGTACATGCCCTTGACCGGAATTGAACCTGGGACCTTTCAGTCCGCAGTCCGACGCTCTAGCCATTGAGCCAAACTGGTTTCGACGGGGAGTTCTGTCTTCAAGTAACATGGTGGTAAGAAATCACCTACAATGCTTGGAAGGAAGACGAGGCTCCAGCATAGCATTCTGACAGCTTGCTGATATGATAACGCCGTTAATGGTAGCTGTTTATACTTGTTTTACACCTGCATTCATTCATACATAATATAGGGCCTACTTTTAGAGTAATATTCGTTGAACCCATTAAAACTGTTCTGTAAATACATATTTACTAGTCAAGGAAAAGCAGAGAAACGGTTGTGGTGACTAGAAATCTCTTACTGTTACTCAAAGAGAACCAAAGTG